CCAGCAGTGGAAGGAAACTGTAAGGAGAGCGGGAGATTAATTTTATTATTTGAAAAAATATTTTTGTGTGTAAAAAAGCCATCAAACATCATCAAACAATTTATTAAACAAAAGTTGCGTAAACAAGTTCAATAACAAAACCAAACAATTCTACTGAAAGGAAAAAATTTAAATATTATGACACTTCTACAACTAAGGCAAATCTAACGAATCGCCATATGTTAAAATTCAATATATATATATGTTAAAATCTAATAAATATTATGAAGAAAGATACAAGGACATAGGAACACGCGATTTTCATAAAGGAAAGAAATATATAATATAATTATATCGATATACTCAGTAGGAGCATCAAAAAAAAACCTAAATCATAGGTAGGTATATTCTTTATTACGCTATCTTTAACCAACGCCATTTTTCTACCGACTTCTAACAGGAGGAGGAAGTCGACTGTATGATTTTTTTGTGTGTGTTACCTCATAACCTCCTTCTGGGTGAACTGATTTCGATGATTCTTTTTTTATTTGAAAGCTGGTGCTTCACATGTGGTCCCATATAAATTTGATCAAGGTCTGAATAATAATGTTATTCTTAAAAATTTATATTGAAGTCGGTTGAACAAAATTTTTAATTATTGTTGAAAACAACTTCGCCATAATGTTCACTATAATATATCGAAATTATACAATAAATCGTAATTTTCGCACATTGGACTTTGTGGAATAAGGAAATTAGTGTTTATTACATGATTTTTTTTTTCATAGTATAAGGGTGACAAACGAGCACACAGTCCACCTGATGGTAAGTGGTTGCTGCGGCCCATAGACATCTACATCTATAATCTGTTACAAATCAAAATGTAGATGCGTTGTCACCCGTGCGTGAGGACTAAGATGGAATGCCACATTTCCAGTAAAAAGGGCCCCGGCCACCTGCACTCACCAAGCGAAACGCAGAGGTAAACCTCTACTTCACGCTGGTTTTCTGTGAGGTCGTGGTACTACCCCGGTTCGAGCCGGCCCATCCGTGCGACAGCAAAAGCTGCCGCGTGGCTCTACCACTGTTAAAAATGATAACTCACAATTTATATGTAATATTCAGTTAATTCTGGCTATTAAATATAGTGATACGTGAACGACACAGTATTTGAAATGGAAATTTTACGAAGTGTATAAAATATAAGGAATTAACTTTTAAGAACAGTGTAATTACATACCTTTTATATAAAAACGAACAAAAAAATTTTTTTAAACGCGGCGAAGGAAATAAGACTAAAGTGTGTGACGTAAACGCGACGCGTAGGTAAAGGCGATAACTCGTTATTTGAAGTAAATTCTTTTAATTTAAAGAAGCGTAATTTAGTAACGAAACTAATTCAAATAAAATTTTAGTTTTATAATTCATATAAATAACATTTAAAAAATAATTGTTCTGAGCACAACAACTGTGGTTCTGACTATACTTAGCGTTATCATATACTCTTAGGTTCTGATGGGTCCTTTCTAAATATTACCAGACTCTTTGGAGCGTTCTACAAAGTTGACCTTGGATTACCACTTGTGTACTTCAAAGAATTGACAGATTAAAGTTCTGCTGATATTATGACAAGAGATCAATCACAGTAACTTATTGCTATTTCTCTTCAACATGAACATAAAAACGTTTGCTTTAAAGTGCGTGGAACAAATAAATAGATTTTTTTATAGGATAAGGGTGACAAACAAGCACACAGTCCACCTGAAGTGGATGCTTTGGCCCATAGACATCTACATCTATCCTCGATTACGAATTAAAATACAGATGCATTGTCACCCGTGAAGACTAAGATGGAATGCCTTGTTTCCAGTAAAAAGGATCTCCGGTTTTCTACACTTACCGTACGAAACACAGCAGCATTAAGCTGCTATTTTACGCTGGTATTCTGTGAGAGCATGATCCTTCCCCGATCGAGACGACACATTCGTACCACAACTATACTACTAATATTACTGCAGCATGCCTCTACCACGTCCAGAGATCCATTTGGTTTGAAATATGGTTCACTGCATTTCAGCCTAATGCCACAATTCCACCGCTCAATTTTGTATATTCACTGCGGTTGCACTTTAACATAACTATTAAGATTGTTGGGAAGCTTAAGGCAACAACATTACAAGTTGTTTTTATATTTTATAGATATTGTGAGGATGATGCTATTTGTCAGGATGGACAACTAAAACAGAGGATTCTGTTCAAGTTTCCCTTCGTCAACTTTTACAACGCTCACGAGGATGACATTAGGTAGTGAATATTCTTACACCATCTCCACTGTAAAGGATAAATGAAGTTTTTAATGTAACCAGTTAGACAACATTCCATAGTGTATGTGATATTCCTTACTCGAAAACTGTCAAATTAAACTTTTAACAAAAATAAAACTTGACTTAAATAAAGTCTAACCAAGTGTGAGTTGAATTATTCTATACACTATATCTTAGCATCAACTTAATAATGTGAAAATATTTAATTATTTTTAAGAACTTTGAAGTTGCCTTGTATTAATAAATGTTATTTTTCTATCGACTTCAAAAAGGAGGAGGTACTCAATTCGACTGTATGTTTTTTGTGTCAATGATTCTTTTTCTAACTGGTTGAGAATTGTCCTAAATAAGTGTACTCTTTCACATACTCAATCGGCTCGCCATTTATGATGATAGTATCTACGTGTGCATTTGTTATGGCTTTGGTTTTAGAAGTATTCATTGTTAAACCTACCGTGCGGCTTTCTCTTTCCAGGTCTACGTGCATGTTTTGTAGATGCTCTTTTGTTGTAACAAATAATATAATATCATCAGTGATGCATAGGTGAGTTTTTCCATACTGGTCCCATTTAAGTTTGCGACGGATTTCTTCTAAGACAGCTGTAAATAATTTAGGGGATAGCGGGTCTCCTTGACAAACGCCTCTATTTATTTTTATTTCATTTCCCTCTTTTTCTGATTTTTTCCAAGTAACAGTAAAGCTGTTAGTGTAAATGTGTTTCAGAATTCTAATGTACTTATGCTCGATACCTTGGTTCTTCAGACAGTACCAGATGTTTTGGTGTTCTATTGAGTCGAATGCCTTGTTATAATCGATAAAGCAGCAGTAGAATGGTACACTGAATTTTTTGTTATTTTCAAAAACTTGTAGGTGATCTAACGTTGAATATCCTCAAGCCCGCCAGCTCTCTGGGCTGATTGGAGCTCTGGTTATTCCTTCATTTTCATTTTTGTCGCCCTTTTTGTTGATGATATTTTTTCTTTTGTGCTCTTCCATTTGCTTGGAGTTTTCATGTAAGATCTTGACATCAGTCTTCAGGCTTTTATTCTCTTCCATAAGAACAGTTAATTTTTCATTGATACTTTCCGAAACGTTTTTAATAACTGCTTCAGTTATCTCCCTTGTTTGTGCTGCCTTTTCCTCCAGAAAAAGGCAGCCATCAATCCATGTTAGTGGTAGTTTCTTGGTTTTGCATGACAATACTGAGTTAGTGTTGGCAATACTGTGTTTTTCTTTTGTAAGCAACACTAGTTTGTAATTGGCAAAAACTAGTTTGGAGTTGGCAATACTAGTTTTCAGTTGGTAGCAATATTTAAGCGTTTGGTAATACCAACAGATTGTGCCATCTGTAATTTATGGTCACTGTTGTGTTTGGTAGGTTGGTACGTCGAACTGTCACCGTGGAATGGAAGAAATTGCTTTGCTTTTTGCACTTTGGTTGTCCAATTCACCACTTGTTTTTGTCACTACTAGTTTAGTTTAGTTTAGTTTAGTTTACGACGGGCTGTTTTCCGCAACTCCACGTCTATGCGCGTATTTTGCGTGTGGGCAGGAATAATGTGATTATTCGAGCCATGAGATCTCTCCGAAGAAGCTCAACAGGCCCTTGATGTTGCATGCAACTTCGGGGAGTGATCCCGGCGTGCCGAGATGTTTAGCCCTGTATGTAGCGACCTCCGGACATTTCAGTAGCACGTGGGCCGCCGTTTCTTCCTCCCCCATACATGCCCTGCACAGGGGACTATCTGTAACACCTATAGTAAATAAATGTTTGTTAAAGGTGCCGTGTCCTGTGATAGCACTTGTTACTATCCTAATCTGCGGCTTGTTCAGTCTCATTAAAACTTTTGTTAAGCGACTGTTAATTTCAGGCAGGGCATCCCTAGCTTGTCTACAGTCTACTAGATTTTTCCAAAGCTGAGCGTGTTGATTAGTGAAGTGTCTACGTACCAGTGAACAAACGTTACCAAAGGGGATTGGTATGATTGGTTCCGGCCCTATAGTGGCCAAAGCCGATCCTCTTCTAGCCAGTTCGTCTGCTGCATCGTTGCCTCTGGATCCACTGTGTCCCTTTATCCATTGCAGGGTCACATTGTTGTTTTTACATACCTCATTTAATCGTTGATGGCATTCATATATTAGTCCCGAGTTCACCACATTGCATCTCAGGGCTTGGAGTACCGCCCTACTGTCGGTCAGTATTCTGATGGGGAAGTCATTAACCTTCCTAGCATCTATTGCTATGGCCGCTTGAATGATACCCATACATTCCGCCTGAAAGACCGTGTTATAGGTACCCAGCGGTATTTTGTCACTACTATCTTTGTTTGTGTAGAAATTAACTGTAAATTACAATTGTTTTATGACAAGTAACAAGAACAGATGTTCACTGTTTCTCTTACGACACCAACGGGTAGATATGAAATCAAATCAAATAATTTATTCAGTATCAGTTTTTACATAGCACTGTTATGATTGAGGATATCTTTTAAGTAAATAATTACTTGTGTAAGAAATCCCCCCTCTCCGTAACATTGATTAACAAATACTAATTTGATACCTACTTACTTCAATACTTAATCTAAAAACATATTTTTAATTTTGATTTTTAAAGTTGCTCCACAACAGACAGTAGTGGATATTCCTACACCGCCATTAAACTGTGTATAAAAAAAATTACTAAATAAAATACTCACTGGCTATTGCGCCCTCTACTGACAACGCTCACACTGTCATCCCGTGAATGCTGGTTGTAGTCGCGCTCCTGCGTGTCTTTTCTGCGCTCCTGCGTGTCTCTTCTGCGCTCCTTCGTGTCTCTTGTATTTCCCGCTTGTTTCTTCTAAAAGAGCACATATTATAAAACTTTAAAACTATAATAACAACATTAAACATGCTACTCTCGCAATTATAATGTTGCTTCCTGACCGCCTCGTTGCTCTGGCGGTCTTAAACACGGTTGTTGATCAAGGTCCTGAGTTCAAATCAAGGGTCGGGCCAAAATCAGTTATTGGGTTTTCGAAATACTCTATAGCAGCCTGGAGTCAGGAAGATGGCGATATTTCACCTCCGTGCATCGGAAACCATGTAAAGTCGTTTGTTCTAAGCCTGACCACTCTCTGGTCGTGTCGGATAACCGTACCACCGGACTGTGAGAGTGAGGCAATAGAGAGTGCACCTGCGATTGGGCACAAACTTGTGCACTATAATCCTGTCTTGCGCAGATGGCTAATCTCCGTTGAGGCTGGCCTCTGTGATCGAATTACGGTCTGGAGGACATTATTATTAATATAGCTGCAGCACGGCTACACCACGTAAGAAATGAGATGATAGTTTCTATTACGGCTCGCACATTCAATGCCGTGCCGTGCATCGTCTTTCTCACTTTTTATTCTAATGTGCATACCTTATGGGCTATATTCACATTCAACTTGAGTGGCTCCGTTCTGTTAAGCTTCATCATGGCAAGTTTGGCTTCGCTGAAACAAAACAGAAAAGACATCGTTTATGCATTTCATTTTATTTCAACAATTTTTATGTCTTTATCTATACATATAAATAAAATTGAAGTGTCTGTCTGTAATATTGAAATAACTGGCTTCTATTAAGCTCAGGGGTTTTTAATGTCTGTCCTAATATTCGGAATTGCTGAACCGAAGAATTTCGGCCACGATGACCAGTCTCAAGTATTATATTGCCCGGGTGTATGTGAAAGCACGGAACGGTAATTCGACACGAGCTGAAAGAGATCAGGCGCAGGACCAACGGCGTCACGTGCTTTCCGAGGCACACAGTCAAACACCATCAACTTCCTGATTCCTGGCTGCTACTGAGTGTGTATTGCCAGAAAAACACAATAACTGATTTGATCCGACACTGGGATCGACCCCGGGACCTCATGGTTAGCAACCGCGTATACGACCACTAGATCAATAAGGTAGTTTTTACGAACAGATAGATGAGACTTTATAAACAGATAGAGACCGACGCTAACAAGGATCTAGGCTATATTTTTTTATCCGAACTTCAAAACGTGTAATTTCTAAAAGACTTCACCAATTGACGTCATATTCGTAAAATATTTGTTTTGTCCAGACAATGTGTTGCAAGTCTCTTGGCTACTGTTTTTTTAAACTTATTTAAAAACAATCACATTTATACATTTATTAACATTTTGTCAGAGGTTAATAAATTGTAACGTCTTTAAAAAAAAGAGCCCAGTGTTTCTGGACGGTTCTTCTCTAGTAGGCCTTGTTCTTGCAAACTTGTTAAAATAAATGGCGGGATTCAAATCCGCTACACAATGTGTCGCAAAGCCGTCAAAAGTTTTTCAACAAACGAGCACACAACCCACCCGATGGTAAGTGGATGCTGTGGTCCATAGATACCTACATTTCTCCCCAATTAAGAATCAAAATGCAGATGTGCTATCAGCTCCGAGGGCCAAGATAGAATGCCTAGTCTGTAGTAAAAAGGGTCTCCGGTTCTCTACACACACCATAAGAAACAGCAGCATTAAACTGCTATTTTACGCAAGTATTCTATGAGAGCGTGGTCTTACCCCGGTCGACGTCGATGATACAACCATAATATAGATGCAGTGTGGCTCTACCACGTATATAAAACTCACACTACCACGTATATAATTTTCGACACTCACACTCTTCATGTGGGGAGAGTTCGCTCTCGCACAAGTTTCACTACTCCCTATTTCCAGTCTGTAGGGTTAGGATTCAACTAAGCACTCGCTTAGCGCCCGTCGGCACCAATGAAATTGTTAATTGTATTTATTACCAGACTGTCTCAGAATGAGCGTAATGTTTTTCGAGTAGCTTATATAGTTTAATGGATTTTAACATATGGGGTGCTGTTAGATTCGTCTTAGTTGTGGAAGTGACGTTACGCAGTTGGGTTTTTAAAATTAAATCCATTTGACAACTTCCAATTTTTTTTATGAAGAATACTGTAAATTTTTCTAATGCTTCCGTTGACAACTGCAAGTAAGTAAATGCTTGTGTTAGGAGTGATTCTTGACAGTAGTCGAATGACGGATTCGAAACCACGACTTTCCAAGTTTGCAGTCCGCACATGCAGGTGAACGCACATTTATCAGCACCGTAGGCGCCGCATTTGCAGATTGCCTCGCACATTAGCACGTACGTGCCGCAGGCAAATATTGCTAACAACTTTTGCAGTTTTTTCTCACCACTAATGTAAAACGGTACAGTGACATTGGTCGCTCGGATCGCTAAAAAAAATGTTGTAATAGCCTGCTTATTGCCAGACGAAATAGTAAATAAAATTTCAAGAAAAAGAAGATTCTGGATTCACAGTATTAATTTAAAAAGGCAGTTGTATGGAGAATATTATACGTTTCTGACGACTCATTATTGTCTACACAGTAAAAAAAATAATATTCCTGAAATGAAGTAAAAATATGTTTCGAAACTTGTAAGTGGGTTAATGGTAGAGTGATCATCTTGCCACTAATTGAAACCTTATTCTACTGAACCACTAGAAAAACACTAGCACTGTAAACAATATTTCTCATTAGAAGGGTATTCGAAACCACAAGTTTTAGTGGAAAATTTAGTTGGCAACATTTGGCAATATAAGCACGCGCCGAACGTGCCGCTACAGAATAAATAATAGTACTACGAACAAAAGTTGCACTCTTTTGATGTAACTACTTGCCGACGTTTTAATAGCCTACACATAGAATTATTACCCAGTAGAAACGCAGTCTAGTACAAACCACGAGCGTCAAAATGACGCAAGGTTATTAAATTAGTGTGCGCGAGTCGAATGTGCCTACGCTTATCATACGCACACAGACATAGCATTCAGTGATACCAGTTTCTGGCGTTTGCAATAAAATTGTGCAAATCACAATTTTATTTATTAATTATAATTAATCGATAAAATAAAGATTACGAATTACGTACGAAGACGTATTTTATGAGAATATAAAATGTTTATTTAATAAAATAAACACGATAGTGATGGTACTAATATAACTTTATTATACATATTTTAATGGTACAAAAATGCAGACGTAATAAAATCTAAGTATATGTATTATGTTATACACAACTATTCGATCGAATGAAATAAAGACATCGTGTAATTTTTAAATTTAACCGACTTCAAAAAGGAGGAGGTTCTAAGTTCAGTTATTATCTTCACGCACAATCCCTGACGGGGTAGCCAGAGAGAACAGATCGCCAAGTGTCACGATCCTTACAAACCTCTTTCGCTTCTTTCAGATTCATTATCTTCTTCATGCATGCACGTCTAGGTATCCGAGTACTTTTGACCCTACCCTCTTCGAGCAATTTGCTCACATGGTCTTCGAAAGTTAGTCTCGGTCTACCTCGACACCTTTTAATATTAACTTTCGCGCTATATATTTTCTTCACCATTCGGTCTTCACTCATTCGCTCAACGTGCCCAAACCACCGAAGCACGCCCTTATCAATTTTTGTGATAAGGTCATCTTTCAAACCTGCCATATTGCGAATCTCTTCGTTTCGCTTTCGGTCGGCCATGGTAACGCCGCACATTTTACGAAGAGATCGCATCTCCACTGCATTCAACTTACTTTTATGCTTCTTCTGGCATACCCAGGTTTTGCTGCCATATAACAAAGTCGGTACCAACACTGCGTCATGTATTGCAAGGCGTGCACTCTTCACTACGCCTTGTCTTTTGACTAACGCAGTCAGGGCACCATTGACTTTGTTCCCGGCAGCGACACGCCTGTCCACATCTAAATCACATCTTCCATCCCGGCTAAAAGCACTCCCCAAGTATACAATTTCATTTACCTGTTCTAGACATTCCTGATTTACCCATATTTCACACTTCGTTCTCTCTTCGTCCCTTTCAAATACCAGAACCTTAGTTTTATTAGCATTCAAACGGAGACCTTTAATTTCACATTCCTCTTTCATACACGTGACTAATGCCTGCAGTTCTGCCTCTGATGGTGCAATAAGCACTGCATCATCAGCATACAGCAGACAATTTACTTTAATGTCACCCAATTTCACACCCAAACAACTATCTTTCAGCTTCTGTAAACAGCTGTCGAGATACAGTATGAACAGCCAGGGAGACATGACACAACCCTGCTTTACGCCCGTTTGGACGTTAAACATGGGTGACAGGTCATGCCCTACCCGCACACAGGCTTTACAGTCACAGTAAAGAGACTGCACAGCCCTTAGCAATCGACCATCCACACCATACCCCGGCAACAGTTCCCACATTTTCTTCCTTACAACCTTATCAAATGCTTTCTCAAGATCCACAAAAGCACAGAAAATCTTCTGGTTAGCAGCCAGAAGCTTCTCCGTGATCATGCGGAGAGAAAACATTTGATCCGTGCATCCTCTTCCAGGTCTAAATCCGCATTGTGCCTCCCATAGAAATCTTTCCGATTTCTCTTGCATCCTACGTGTCAAAACCTTCGAGTAAACTTTACTTGCTAAACTGGTCAAGCTGATCGCCCGATAGCACCCGCAGTCAAAATGTGAACCTTTACCTTTATATAAAGGCACAATGACTGCGGATCGCCAATCATCCGGGACATCCCCCGTCCGCCAGCACAAATTGCATAGCAGATGAAAGCTGTCCCAGACGCGAGGCCCACCATACTTGACCATTTCAGCAGTAACTCTGTCTAGTCCCGCAGCCTTACCACATTTCAAACTTCGAATCGCACGTTCAATCTCTTTCATACTGATGACCTCAGTGTCATCGAGGTCCGGGTCTGGCGTACCAGTCACGGCGTCATCCCCGGATCCCTCACTAAGATCATCATACGCATACATTTCTCTATAAAATTCGCTCCATCGCTGCATGACGTCCGATTTTTTTGAGAGGACGTCATTAGTTCTCGAAAGCACTTTGTTCATTCTTAAGGCCGTCGCACCACTCCGGGTCCTTCCAACCTCTTTCCAGAAGAGTTTGGAGTTCTCCTTAAAGTTGTGCGACAACCTTTCGTCCGCTTCCATTCTACACCTTTCACGCACTTCCTCAATCAGTGCTTTCGTGTGAACTTTCTGCAGCCTATATCTTTCTTTCATCTTCTCTCTCATATCCTTATCATTACTAGAGGCCAAGTAGTCTAACCATGCTTTCTTCTTCTTTTTTACAGCTTCTTTCACTTCATCATTCCACCATGCATCTCTTCTTTTACTACTGCCTCTTTTTATTGTTCCACACACTTCTTCCGCTGCACTTACCATTCCATCCCTAAGGTTCTGCCAAGTTCTTTCTACACATTCTTTTCTGCCATCGATGGTGTCAAGCTTTTCGGCTACCCTCGCATGATATTTGTCCCTAGTATCCGCTTCCTGAAGCTTCCAGCTTCGGATGCGACAGACCGACTGTGGTTCTGTTACTGCCGTTCGGTAGCGCCAACCCGCGAACAGACCCCTAAATCTAGTAATCACTAGATAGTGATCCGTTCCCA